GAGAGCTCAGTGTATGGGGTACACTAAGCCAGCTCTGTAAGGTGATCGTCAGCCAGGATTACTCTGTGGAGGAGACAACTTATTGTGGTTCATGCTAATGGCTTGATGGTGAAATTGCTTGCAGCGGTGTGACGACACTGGATGTGCAGCCCTCTTCTGCCTCTGCTGCAAGTGCTGCACAGAAAGCAGTGGGGCTTCAGGCAGTGAGAACAGCAGGGACTGCTGGAAGATGGGTTGTTACTGCAGGCTCTGTTCTGCCTTCCTTCATGGGGAAACCAGACAGGCTTCAGGGCCAGGCATATTCCAGTGCACCCCCAGCATCTGGACTGTGGAGGTCCTGGACAGACTTGCAGCAGTGAACAGATCAGCGCTTTTCTGTGAATCTAATGACGGTCATGCGGAGTCTGTGGCTTTTCTGATGTGCAAGTGTAAGTCCCGTCCCATTCCTTGTGTTGCAGGTGGATATTCGCTTTCCCCAGAGCGGAGCTCCTGACCCCAACTGTGTGACTGTGACGGGACTCCCTGAGAACGTGGAAGAAGCTATTGATCACATCCTGAACTTGGAGGAGGAATATGTAAGTGTTCAGCAGATCCATGCAGGGGCTTAGCAAGGATTTCCTCTGCAGCAGAGCTGAAAGTCTGAAGTATCTCCATGTGGTATTTTCTACCGCTGCACTGGATAACTCCAGCCCTGTGCAGGTGGCAGCCAGTCCTCATCTGCAGCTGTCCCTCAGACCAGCTGGGCACAGAGCCCCAGACTAGGGCAGAAACATTGTGCTTGGTCATTGTAGAACAGGCTGGTGAGCTTGGATGGGTTGCAGGATGGTGAGATGGGGTGGGGAGGTGTGTTATGCCAGTTTGAGGAACTGTCAAGATCCACCCCTAACTGGGCCGTGTCACTGCAGCTTGCAGATGTGGTGGACAACGAGGCAATGCAGGTGTATATGAAGCCCTCTTCACACGAAGAGTCCAAGGCCCCATCCAAGGGCTTTGTGGTGAGAGATGCCCCCTGGGCCACTGTCAACAACGAAAAGGTGAGTGCTGCTTCTGCCGTGGGCCTGGGGGCACAGGAAGTGTGGTGTCCTGTGCCAAGGACCTGCTCTGGGGTCTGGCCCTCCTATCTTGCCTGGGGAAACAGAGCACTCGCTCTCCCTTGCTGGCAGAGAAAGCAGTGAAGGGCCCTCCTGCTCTTCATGGCCCATGCAAGATGAGGACAGACTTGGGCTGTGCCTTTCCAGCACTGCTGTCTCTTTCTTCCGAGCGTCTTGCCCACACTGACTACCCCACAGTGGAGCTTTGGGGATGGGAGACCCTTACCAGAAAGTGTCCTGCCAGCTTGTGGTGTTTCTAGGGATAGGGACAGAGCCCTGGGACTTCCAACTCCTCCTGCAGCACAGAGCTGGCTCGGTTTGTGGTTATGTTCTGGCTGGATGCCCCCTTCCTGGAGGTGTTCAAGGTCAGCTTGGACAAGGCTTTGGACAGCCTGGTCTAGTGGGAGGTGTCCCTGCCCATGGCAGCGGAGTTGGACTGGATGATCTTCAAGGTCCCTTCCAACCCAAACCATTCTATGATTCTATGTGGCAGCTCTGCCCTTGGCTGCCCCAGTGCTGCTGCAGGACTGGCCCAGCCCCATTCCAGTGACCCAGTTACTGCAGTTGGACCCTTGGAGCCCTTGATCTGCCTGCCATTTGCAGTTGTCTGCACCCTCCTAAATGTCATCTCTAGATGGCTCAGCCGTCCACCCTGGCAGTCCTAAGGACATCATGATCCTTTTCGGCCCTCACCTGTTTTATCTCACCATGGGACATCAGAAACGCTGCTTAGCTCAGGGGAGCACCATGCAGGTTTGCAGCAGGGCAGGAGCTTAACTTGTTCCCTTTTTGTTTGCTCTAGGCCCCTGATATGAGCAGTTCTGAAGACTTCCCCAGCTTTGGGGCTCAAGTGGCCCCCAAGACTCTTCCCTGGGGACCCAAACGATAATGACCTGGAAGCAGAAACTTCTCCAGCCCGCTGACCTGACACTAACCTGCCACAAATACTTCCTGTCTGAAATCTGACCCAGCGGCTGGAGCACAAGTCAATTGTCCCAAGAGGTCTCCTAATGGTGTCTGGAGTGCTAGACCCCATCCTGCTCCCCTCAGCTATCACCATGGCTAGGATCCACCCTCATCTCTTGATGGATATTCTTTCCTCCTTTGGAACAAGACTTCCACTCAGATTCAAACACTAAATGTGTGTGTTTTTGTTAGAAACTTCATAATTGACTCAAAGTGGCTAAGATTTGCAGCTTCCCAAGCGCTAGCAGAGCAATCTGCTCTTTTGAGCATGTCTTACTAGGCATTCTCGCCTTCATTAGGAGACCTCCTTTACTGTGGCTAGGAATCTACTTCCTGTCTCATGACCTCAGGAAATAAATTTCCTTGACTTTCTAAAGCCAAAACGTTTGCCCTCTTTCCTTTGTGTTTATCCCAGGCCTTACCTTACCTTTGTAGAGTGCAATCAACTTATTTTCCTTTTAACTGCCAAAAATTCATTTAATGCTGATAGCTGACTGTGGGGAGAGCTTAAAATAATCTGAAGGGTCAGATACTTTGCTTTTTAAAGTAACAAAACCTTCAATAGGCTGTAGAGGCAGCAGAGAGGGAAGGGACCAGACCAACGTACGGCCGCCCTGGTCAGGTAAACACCTCGGAGCGAGCGCACCCCTGCGCCACTAAAGCACAGCCCCAGCCCGCATGCTTGACGAGTCTTCCAGCGCGCGATGACAGACCCCGCTCCCAGTTCCCCACGTTCCCTCCTTCGCCCTTCCCAACCGTGTGAGCAGGCAGGCGAGCCAGCACGTGACCGTATTTCCGGATGGGACAGCTTCGGGTCTGCCAGGGTTGCTGTGGTGGCATGGCCCAGGAGAAGCTGGTGGGAAGCACAGCCTTGAGAAGCTGTAGTCCTCTGCTGGCGCTGCAGCATCTAGGCATGAGCAGTAGGGACGTCTGTTCCTGTTGCCTTCTTTCTACCTCAAAAGTCAGTACGATGGTGGCCTCTTGGTGCAGGTGGGTAAGCGGCTGCTCCAGCTCTTGCCGTGGCACCCAGAGCAGAAGCCCGGGGCAACCTTTTGTTTTCAAGTGGCTACAAGAGCTCTTTGGAGGGAAGCTGAGTGTGGTGATGGTCAGGCAAGCTGTGAAGCAGAGGGACCCGTAGGACTCCTTGCTGAGCTAGAACACAGCTCAGCCCCAAGGCCACAGGTGCAGAGGGCGTGAGCCAGGCTTCTGCTCTGATGACACTGGAGGGGCTGATGGTGTTGGTGCGTTGAGCCCTCCCCGAGGCCTCCATCATACCGGCGGTAGAGGCTGATCCGTGCTCGGTACTCTGGGCCGCTTGCACCTAGGCCCTGCCATGGCTTGCTCAAAGGGGCTGTGTCCAAGCTCCTCCAGCCTGTAAAACTACATCTTTGTGGAGGGAGGCAGGGAGCGGGGGGTTTCTTTGTTCCCTCCTTCCCCTGCATCAGCCCTATGGAGGGTGTAGTCTGAGCCATTCCTCTATCCCAGCTGGACTCCCTAGCCTTTCTTCTCTAGTGCTGCTTACAGAGCAAAGGCCCAAAACTCTGACAGGCTGAGCCCGGTCTTCTTGCCTTTCCCCCTGTCTGGCAGGCCAGTCGTACCCGGGCTTTTCCTTCCCACGCCAGCTCTTCTTGGAAGAGGCTGCTATGCAGAAGTTGAACCAAAACCTCACAGTGCTCTCCTAAAGTTTGAAAAATGACTGGAACTGCCCCCAAAGGCCAGGGGGGCCCCTTGCCTCCAGCATGGGAGCCAGGGTGGGTGAGACAGAACCAGGGTCCCACCCTCCCTTCTGCATCTGTCAGAAAATGGTTATTCCCCCTGTAGCTTAGGTCTGTCCTATGTCACCAAGCCTATCGCCCCCCCTAATTCCTCTTTATGCCCTCATGTGCCCTCACCACTTGCACAGCCTAGGCTTGAGTTACATTTAGGGCACCACTGTTGGCTCGTGCCCCGCAGCCCGACCCTCCACTCTAAAGAAGGTCATGAAGTGATTGTACCTAGTACTGTCCCCCCACCGCCCTCCTTCCGCAGCAGACTGTGGCATGTGTCCATTTCCTCTCTTTGACGTCTTCCATATTGTACGTTTCCATAGCAATGATCCCTTGGCCTTAACTTTGGAATTTGGAGACTATATGCAAACATGTAAAAAGGCTCATGAGTATGGATGACACTGGAATTTTATAAATTCTAAAATAAAACCTGAAACAGCTTGGAGTGTCACGGATATTATTTCTACTGGTGGGAGTGAGATGCAAGGCAGGGTTGCTTGGCTGAGTGTAGCCCGGTTTGAGGAGTCCCAGCTTCTGCTGCGGCCATGCCCTCACCACAGCTGGACTCACACAGCAAGCAGCCAGGTCAAGGGAGGAGGCGAGAGGAGCACCAGGGTCTGCTCCCTCCCCACAAGGAGGCACAGACCTGCTCGCACCCAGAGCCATTGCGCTGGCGACGCTGCTAGCCTAGAGAAGGAGAGGGAGGCCCCGGCCATGGTCCCTTCTTGCTCACCTCCACCATAACCAGAGCCTCAGTCTGTCTGCTGCGACCGGCACTGCTTATGGCACCCACCAGCTGGGCCAAGCTGCTGCAACGCCTGGCTCAGGGGCTGTTGTGCTGGGGGGTTACAGCACACCCCAACTTCCCCTGGGGGTTCATAGCTCTCCCATTGCCACTGGGCCTGCTGCTGCTGGCAGGAGCAAACCCTCTGGCCGTGGTTACAGATACACATCCAGCACAGTGGAGGCAGGAGAAGCAAGAGCCAGGGCAGGAATTGCCTTGAGATAACACCCACAGGCTGGGGGAGACACCCAGCGCCAGCTGTGTCCCCAAAGGCTGTGTGCTGGCAGGACACACACCTGCTGCACCATAGCTCCAGGCTGGGCTGTGGAGGAGCCGGTCGGCAGCCATCCAGTCCCGGCTCAGCACCATGGGCCTCGGGGTGCACTGCGGTGCTCAGCTGCTGCCCAACTGCTCTGTTTCCCAGTCCCTGCTTGTGGTCAGATCCGTGGTGCTGGCCTTGTTTCTTGTCTCCCATCTCTCCAAGAGGACCTGAACCACAGCAAAAGGGAGCTGGCATTTGCACTAGGCCACAATTCCTTACACCTCTGCCTTCATGCTTGCCTGTGCCTCTGCGCAGATTTCAAGTGAAAAAAGAGACTTTAAAGGAGGAGAGGGAGGAGTGGCCGCAGCCCACCTTGTTCTCAGCCAGGGCCTCCTTGGCCAGGTACCGTTCACGCTTCACCTTGACCTCCACAGCCTCGGGGATGTCGGGGACCAGCCACGCGATCACACGGCTGATGGAGAAAACCAGGTGCTGGGAGCGAGCAGGGAGGTGCGGGTTGGCCGAGGTGGCAGGTCCTCACCCACCACAGCACCTGGCCACCCCACAGGGCCCGACAGCTGGTACCTCGAAGGCGATGATGAAGCCCAAGCGTACGGCCAGCAGCTGCCAGTACATCAAGGTCAAGTTGCCATCCCGGTCCCGAAACGCTCGGTATCTGTGGGAGTGAAGCACAGCTCTGCCGCTGTCTGCTCCACAGCGGGCGTCAGCCTGGGATTGAGCCAGGGCCCCAAGGACCTCGGGAAAGTGGGAGGGCAACATGGGCCTGGCTAAGGGCCACTGTGCTAAACAAGAGGTTTGCCTTGGCAACAGCAGGGAACAGCAAATCTGAGGCTAAAAAAACGAGGAGAGGAGAGGATGGGGCTTCCACCTGCACGTGGTGTTGCTTTGCAAGACAAACTCCCGTGGTGCGTGCGCCAAGGTGAAGTTCACGTAGCCATGCAGGCTGCTGTCCTGGACGTACCCGTAGTACACGCGGGGCAGGAAATCGGAGGTGAAGGCAATGAGGAAGGCCTGGGAACAGGGAGATGTCCTACAGCAGGTCCTGTAACCAGAGGACGCCACAGCCCCACCAACAGAACCTCCTCCATGCCCCATGCTTCTGAGGTGGCTTTTCCAAGGGCCTCTCCTTGCCCTCAGCTTGACGACCCAGACAGGAGCACTGCTCCATCTTAAGACAGCAGCTCACACCACTGTGTCCAGCTCTCACCCCTCAGTTAAACCCAAGCAGGGCCACATACCCCAGAGGGTGAAGGCTTCCCACCACCCTTGGCTGGAGCTGCACCTTCTGCCAAGGTGGACCCGCCCCAGGCACTGCAGCTCCCCTTCTCACTCTGCATCTCGAGGTCGTCCCCTCCCCCCCACTACTTGCCCCACACTGTTTGCAGCCCCCTCACCACCTGCCCAGCGTACGTTGCTGATGACGGCCAGGTGAGTGATGGCCTCCAGGATGGAGAACCAGATGCCAATGCCCTGCGCCCGCTCGGCCACTCAAGGTGGACCCGCCCCAGGCACTGCAGCTCCCCTTCTCACTCTGCATCTCGAGGTCGTCCCCTCCCCCCCACTACTTGCCCCACACTGTTTGCAGCCCCCTCACCACCTGCCCAGCGTACGTTGCTGATGACGGCCAGGTGAGTGATGGCCTCCAGGATGGAGAACCAGATGCCAATGCCCTGCGCCCGCTCGGCCACTGGCCGCCCGGCCACAAAAATGGTGATGAAGCCAAACTGCAGGACTGGGAGGAAGAGGAGGAGGAGTGGGGTGGGACCAGCTGAGAGATGGCAGCTGTGGCATCTCCCAGCCCCA